TTCTCAAACTTTTAAGATCAATTTTGCTCAAGAGTAATTTTTTTCTAAAGACGAATTTTACGTAAAAACAAAGCTTTCTAAGAAAACATGATTTTTTTTGAAAAAGAATTTTTCATGAAAAAAGTCAACTTCAAATTTCGAGAAATTGATTATTGATTCGAATTCATTGATGCCGCTTGCCTATTGTTCAAATTCACTAGTGAAATCCAAGTGAAATCTAGTAAAACTCACACCCCAATCCAGTCAAATCTTATGATTGGATTTGACAGGATTTGGGCTTGGTGTGTCTCTATCAGCTGCTAAGTTGGAAAAAAACGAGATCGAATTGAAAAATTCCTAGATGAGGCAAAGAAAGAAAGCTTAGAAACTTCTAAAATAGATTTGCTAGCGCATTCCACATGGGACGATATATGATTTCATTGTTGCTATATCATACTAATGCCTTGATTCCAGTGAATAAAAACCAACTAACTTATTGATATGCATTGAATTATCATTGAAGACGACCCGTACAGCATTTTCTCCGATGAACTTGCTTGAAGTCAGCATTAGGCAAAGCTAACTGGATGCCGAATTATCATCGTATAAAGACTTTTTATGCGCAATTACCAAAGGACGGGGACATTTCGGCCCCTTTAGAAGGCGAAGATGCATTTACGTGAAACTTTCAGCAATTGTTCAACAAAGTGATAGTAGTCGTCCCTGAAAATTTCAGTTTCATCGGTTAAACTTTTACTTTACTTCACTGCATGAGGTACATATTCCCCTAGATATGGACAAAAGTACCTCAGAGTGAATGTTGTGAACTTTCGTTCTCTACTATTTCATTCAGAACCAGAGCCAATTTTCTAGGATTATTCGTTACGACTAAGTACTGCAAAATTGCAAAGTCAAAAGGGTGCAGAAAACATGTCTTCATACCATCATCAAGTACATAGTCCACTGAGTATGGACAAAAGTACCTTAGAATGAAACTTGTGAACATTCGTTCTCCCAATGTGTACCATTTACCACAAATTGCGGATCCCTGAATCAATCCATAAATCCTATCCGCATTTATGGATAATCCAACAATTAAGACAATTCTGGTGACCAAGTAGAAATTTTAAATTAGGGATTTTTGAATTTAGGGATTGTTTTAATATAAAGTGACGGACAAAATTTTATCGCACTTTTTGTTGTTGGTTTGCCTCCATCAACGATCGCTTTAAATAGACATTGAAACGGTGATTTCGATAGCTTCGAAACAAGCTACTAAGATATTATATAGAAAATTTCAACAGTTAACCGCTTCAGTTTTTATGACAGAAAATGTTTTTGTCCACTGGAAATGAATTTAAGGCAGCCTTTCGTATTTTATAAATTTTCCCGTTGTCGAAGAATAGAAAATGTTTCAAAAATATATCATTAGATCCAGAATTGAACGGGCTACATTTTGGTATAAATATTTTTGAGAAGCTATTGGCTATAATAATTAAATATTAATTATTATTAATTAACAGTTATAGAAAAATCTTGTCATCATTTTTGGTTTCGAAGTACACTATAAGAAGAAGCATTAAAAGCTCAACAAAATCATGTGTTTTTTGTTTTATAACGACCGGTCTTAATGATTTTTTAAGCATACTTTCAGATTTTAAATAAAATTGTGTTAATCGTTGAGAAAAGTAGACTATAAGAAGTTTCAAAATTTGTAGGTTCATTAAAAGCGCTCTTTATTGAAGAAAAACCACAAACAAAGAGTATCTTAGAACTTTTTTCTACACTTTATATTAAAAACATCACTAAATTAAAATCCCTACTTGGTGACCAGAATTGTCTTAATTGTTGGATTACCTATAAATGTGGATAGGATTTAGGGATTGATTCTGGGATTCGCAATTTCTAGCAAATGGTACACATTCGGAGAACGAACGTTCACAAGTTTCATTCTAAGGTGCTTTTGTCCATACTCAGTGGAATATGTACTTCATGATGGTATGAAAACAGGTTTTCTGCACCCTCTTGTCTTTGCAATTTTATAGTACCTATGGATGGCCAATGACTCTAGAAAAATGGCTCCAGTTCTGAATGAAATAGCGGAGAACGAAAATTTACAAGATTGAATCTAAGGTACTTTTGTCCATATCTAGGAGAATATGTACCTCATGCAGTAAAGTAAAGTAAAAGTTTAACCGATTAAACGGAAATTTTCATGGACGACTACTATTACTTTGTTGAACATTTGCTGAAAGTTTCACGTAAATACGCCTTCACTTTCTAAAGGAACCAAAATGTTCCTAAAACGTCCCCCGTCCTTTTATGTCTTGTAGGTTATTTGTAAATCATTTGATGATGACGCCAGGATTTTTGACCCATGGACTAGTCTTCTACTTAAGTACAATCTTCGTACGGCATCACCACTAAGGCTTTCTCATTAATTTTGAAACGTTTTACATGCGGTTTTTCTGCATCATTAATTCACAAAGATCTTATGCTTCTCATATCAGTTTTTGCCTTTAACACTGGTAGCGTTATCATGATATTTATATTATTGATAGAAGAATTCTTTGTAATAAGCTACTTGATAATATAGAAGACATCGTAATACATATTTCGATGAAAGAATATTAATATTCTGCGATCCAAAAAGGCTCATTGAAATTAATTTAAATTTATTAAAAGGGTATTTTTGGCCGTATTGCTAATAAGGATGCAAAATGGCGTCAATCAAACTTATTAAATAGTCAACAGCAAACATTTTATCGTCAACGTCCTATAGAAATACATGGAATTGTTCACCATGTCATACGTTGACAGAAAAAAATTCTACAAAAATTGTGTTAATAGCTGCATGATGTCATAATAGTGTCAGTACCATTTTCCGACTTATTCGCGATGATATTCATGTAAAGTATCGTAAAACAACATAAGCATTTCTTTTATAACGAGCTGCTAGTGAGAAGAGACCATCTAGAGCTTGGCATATGTCTCGCTAATTATACAATCAAACATATAAAATCTATGTAACTACTGACGGAGCTCAGTTTAACCTTAATGAAATCCATGATACTAGCGATCTGTATTAACTTATAAGTAATAGAATATTGGAAGATGTTCAAGAAATCGAATATATTGATTCGAATCCTGTGGTTTTCTTGATTTTGGTCGGTGCCAGCACATATGATAGAAGTGAGTTCCATTTTATCACACAGTTAAAAACTTGTCTTTAAATACTGTATCGAGCACGCGATAGAATTAATCATCAAATATGAAATTGCTCATTTACTTCGTGATGATACACGAAAACAAAGATGTTTCGCCAACATAGTGTATCGGATCATAAGAAAAAATAGGCAATTAATTATATGAAATAATATAGCAGATAATTTCTAACGCTGGAAGGTTGGTTACCAAACAGTCCTGATGCTGCTTCAATGTATTATCAATTTAAGAAGTTATGAACAAGCAACTACGGAAACACAAGATGTCCGTATTGAATGACTTGAAAAATGCTATATAACAGGAATGGGAAAACTTTGAGCAGGATTTAAGCCCCCCCCCCTCCCCCCTTAGAAATGATTTCCCACTTAGAATGGGTCTTTTGAGCTGCAAAATTCAGGAATGAGTGATCTTGGGGAGTTACGCCTCTGGTAAAAATTTCTGCCCGATTGGCCATACCAGACCAGAGTTTTAGCTGATTCATAGGTCATTTTTGGCCTTTAGGAGAATCGACAAAACTCCATTGTAACACGAGCTATCGAGCTCGGGCTGTTGTCAAATTAAAGCTAATGTCAGTACGCAACCTTTGTCCGAACAGAATTTTTAAATTCGATCTTACTGATTTTTTATGGCTATTTTAGTGAAAGGGTCTAAAAATCAGCATAAAAAATGTTGGTCCAACGACAGTAAATCCCACTTTTCTCAGTCCAGGAATCGACTTTAAAAGAACTGGTCGGACAAAAGTTTGCTCTCGCTGATATCTTTAAAACAAAAAAAAATATTGATTATAGCTCGAGACAGGAGGGAGTAGTTCCAATTTTTCTGATTGGAAACCATGTTCTGAGAAAATTGTTAAAGAAGTTTTAGAAATTATTTTTTTCTTCAAATGCAGGAAATAATGGTATATTGATAATATTTATGTGGAATTTTTGAAAGCACGTAATAGATGGCGCAAGCTAGCATTACAGGCCGTACTATATGATATAAGAATGTCTATTCCATGCTGATAGAAGTAAAAAAGTAGTCGTCCCAAAAATCACAAAAACCGCGAAAATCTCTCCGAAAACCGGGTAGTGAGGTGGAAATTTCCTACGAAAGTCTGTAAAAATTTGGCCTTTTTTTGAAATTTTTTATTTATTTTGAAAGAGGAAACTTCACTGCATCTTCCTATGATAAAAACTCGACTTCGATTGCTTTACCGAAAAATGGATTTTCTGAGGGAGGGGGCCCTTAATCGATCACGTCTTGAAGAAGTTAGTCAAATTGTTGAAGATTAATTAATTACGCTCATGAATCACACATTGGACACCTGTTGCGATAAAAATTTAAAGATACAAAAATAACAAATTTTCTATTTTGCAGCAAAATAAATGGGATGTCCCATAATCAGAATAAATCATCATCTTCTTGTTTATTTGATCTGATACTTCAAGTTTGAATGAAGTGACAACATTGCCCATTGAAATCTTCCAAAAAGAATTAGTTTATCAAGTGAATATCAAATAAAAATTAATTTTTAATCAAGTGACTTTGAGAAACACAATTTTTCGGCAAAAAATCAAATAAGCTTATTAATAATGGAAAGAAACTGAAGTATTTTTTACTGTGTTTTTGAGAATTAGATGTAATAAAGACGTCCGAAAGTGTCTGCATCCTTAACAATATAATATGACGAATAGTAACGTATTTGCGAGAAAAAAATTTCACTGATTATTTTTATTTTTTCTCTCATAATTTAAGAACTACAAGGATATGAGTAATAGTTCATAGGAAGAGAAAAGCCAATTCCATGTTGGAATCTAATAGCGTTGTTGATATTTGAAGATGCGTTTAAGCTGTAAAGACAAAAACAAATAAGGATTAAATATTCTTTATAATAACACAAAACATACATCAAGTGTGACAACAGCACGTCGTAATGCGCTGCGGATCAATTCATTGTATTGTGGATCAACAATAACATCAAATTCAATAATCAAATTTTTTTGTTTATCAACTGAAATACTTGTAATTTCAATCGATTTAAGGCCAACCCGTTGATATTTACGAACTTCAGCTAATAAGACATATTTAAAGTTTTGTGGAAATCTTCCACAAAGTCGACTGGAAATATGTTCCAATGTTATGCCATCTAATAATAATGTTGAGCTGATTCTACGTAAGGCACATCGAGCACAGGGTGAATCATAACGAGCACCATGTTTGAATGCAATATCAGCTGTAGTTGATAATATCTGAATAAAAGATGTCAAATATAAAATATCCGAACATTTATTTCAACATACACGAGCAATATGACCAGTTCGACGTTTGGTGACTGGCGTGGTTTCTGTTTGTTTAGGTTTACCTTCTTTCGATGAAGCAGAAGCTGAAAGATCGGCTAAAAATAAATATTCCTTATTTGCATTTGAAGTTATTCCGAAATACAGATTTTCGTATTGGCAATAATATTCTGAAGAGAATATATCTGCAAAGCGAGACTCCTCACTCTATATGTCTTCTGAGACCCTCAAAAATAGTACCAATCAAACTATCGAAATAATGAAAGAGAAAAAAATGCTTGCGCAGATAAATTGCTTTCATGCATTACTTACATGACTCTGATTCGGATTCTCGGGGTGGTTGTTTAGTCTTTTCACCAGAAATATTGGAAGAATTCGAATCGTCACCACATGATTTACGTTGATATTCATCAATTGTATCACGTAACTTAAACAAATTATTAATCATCCCAGTTTTATTCCAACTGAATGATACTTACTTCTTTATCTCTGCAAACCATACGTAATGCCGCTATGGCTTGATCATGATATTCTTTCTTGGCATTACATGAATAATGAAAACGAGTATATGTATCATTGCCGACTACCATAACGAATTGAATATCCTGGATCTCTTTTAAGCCATTTCTAACAAGTTCACGATTTACCAATATTGACATTTGTCTGCTTACGGCTTGAGAAACAGTAATATCTCTCGTGAATAGTTTACTTGAACATTTCTGGACAACCAAAGAGCCAACAATTTTATCTCCATCAGAATAAATATTGTGTCCATTTTCACAGTCAATATCAATTGGTTTCATCATTCCACCACAATTACCGTGACGCTTCGTGACAGATGAATGGATTTTCTTCGCTGAAAAAAATAAAATCTTGATGAGCTAAAAAACCCTAATAGTTGAACGCAGACTTCATCTTTTCGTACATCCTACCAAATATCATCTTATACCGACTGTTTAACTATAGCTATATTAAATACAAGCTTCACGATATAAGCACGTCAACCAACAGAGGAGGCAGCTATCTACACGAGGCTACAACTAAACACATGAATTTTAGCATTCTTCAAATACTGACAGTACCCACTGTAATATCACCTAACCATAAAATTCTCCGCGGAGCCACTCAGCACCGATATCGAAACCCTTCAGTGAAGACGAAACAATACCAAAACTACAATAAAACACCAATCTATTATACACAACAAAACAAAGCAACTACATCCATACTAAAAATTCTTTCATGGCAAACACAACCTTACAAGAAATCGAGCAGAAACACTAAAGAAACTTGACATTCAAAAGTTTTTCTTCCTGAAACAAAAGTTTCATATTCCAAAAGTGTAATTGGACTTGAGGGATGATCCAGACTCTTAGACCCACCTACTCAACATCTCTCTCAAAAACAGAGCTTATCTTTTCTCTCGGGAACCGAAAAACCAAAACCAAACCACATATACTTCAAAACAAATCATCACCATCAATACCAGTTTAACATTGACCTACAAGAAAACTATGCAAAGTGATGCTCTTGCTTGACATTATCGGCGCGCCTTCCCCTTAGGAGGCATTGCACGAAAGGGACGACCCAACTGACGGATCACGTGCTCAATCGATCTCACGAATTTCAATGAAATTTTGCCGGCATGTAGCTCTACGTGAGATATGAAAAAGACTAAAATTTTTCCGCCTAGAACCTTTCCCTTGTTGAGATATTATAATCACAATGGAGGCACTCTCAGGTAAAAAATGACGATAAGCAACGCAGTTTCCACTCAATATATACTTCGTCATTTTTCAACCATGATGTTTTTTGGCATGTAACTTTGAAAATATATACTACCCTTAGTACCCTATAGACTGACCCAATCAAAACCACTTTTCCACTGGTTAGACGGTATAGAGGTATTTCATAGGTTTTAGATATGCTCTCCACATTG